AATCCAAACTTTTGGTATGATAGACAAAACATTTTTCTTATCCGATTTATTATTCTTCTATTAGAGCATCTTAAGCTTAGTAATTTGAGATCAATTTGCTAATATCTCATTGTTAATAATAGTGATACAATGAAAGATTATTCTTTACAGAATTCTATTAGTTATAGAATTATTTTTCTATAGATTATCAAGGAAGAATAAATTCTCAAAAAAATATAACTAATATTTTCTTTGAGAATTTTTCATTATACATGAAAATTATTTAGAGTACTGAATAGGTAATTATTGAAAATTTATCATAGAAAATTAATCATCTTTTACTTAATCGATAGCCACATGTTATCAAAAATATCAAATATTTTCTAAAAATCATTTAAGTAAAAAATTATATATATATAGCTGCTTAATGTTTTTGCATTTTTATGGATTCTTAATATTTTTGCAATTTTATGGTTTCTTAATTTTTTGTATTACAAAATATAATTACACCACTAAAAAAATACTTAAGTGTAAATGCAAACCGAGACATATTCAAAAAAAAAAGAAATCTATATAATTACCATAAACTTAGCAAAATTTGATTGCTATTTAAATATTTGGTTACTTCTCAATATAACTCTGAAGGTTTTGTCTACTCGGAAGTATAAAACTGAATAGTTGCTTTACTTTTATTCGAATTAGACTATGCTACTAACTTCAATTGATTAAATTATCTGAAACTAATTAGGTAAATTTGAAAGGTTCGGTTTTTACTTGTTGACCTTTTTACAATAATGTAAAATATAATAGAAATAAGAAAATAAATATTTTGGTCATTTGAGAGTATTCTCAAAAAAGATTATTAAGGTAATTTTACATCGCCAGTTAAGAATAACAGAAATTTTCGTTTTTCTATTTTGTCACATAAATTAATTTTTATTGTCTAAGGTATTATATAAAATACGAAAATCTTTAATAATTCATGCCTATAAATAGTCGCACACTCTTCAATTCAACGCAAGTTTACTAAATTACATTGCCAGTCATCGGTTTGGAAAATTTTCATTGATAAATACCATAAAAAATTATTTATGGCCTATTGTAACAAATTACTGCTGCATATTGTATTTAAAAAAACCAAATCAATGATGATCTAAAAGTGATTTACAATTTTAAATATATGTCAAATATAATTTTTTATTTTCATTTTAGTAACCGATTACGAAACCAAATATCAAATTTATAACATAAAATAATTTTAAAATTTTAACTTTAAATTTATAAAATCAGACGATTTTAAATAAAAGTATTGACACATTGTGTTTTTTTCGAATTTCCAGTCGAAGGAATCATTTTTATTTAATGGTTTTTATACATTATAATAATAATTGATATGTTAATTATTTCTATGCTAAAAAAAATAAATTTTAGCCGAGACATTTTAGTAATAATAATAATAATCTTAAATAACTAATGAAAAAAGTATTGACACAGTCAATGAAAAAAATGCAATTACTTTTTAAAATACGAAAATTAATGTTTTGTATCACTTTTAATATTTTGTATGCCCTCCCTTAGCTTCAATTACTGCTTCTAGTCTTCGAGGCATTGAATGTACAAGATTTTGAGTTATTTCTCTGGTAATTTCCTGCCATTTTTCGCGGATTACTCTTTTGAATTCTATTTTGGACGAGCATTTAATTTTACGGATTTCTTTACCTAAAATACTCCAAAGATGTTCGATGGGGTTAAGATCTGGTGACTGAGGAGGATGTTTCAGTTGCCGTGGTGCATTATACAGCAACCAATGTTTAGTTTTTTTGGCTGAATGCTTCGGATCGTTATCCTGCTGAAAAATAAAGTTATCTTTCAGCTTTAATTTGGTGGCACTATCCATCAAGTTGCATCGCAAAATATCTATATATACGTCGGCATTCATAATACCTTCAATGAAATGGAGATTTCCAACTCCAGCGCTGGACATGCAACCCCAAACTAAAACACTACCGCCACCATGTTTAACTGTAGATTCAATATTTTGACTTAAATAGGCCGTGTTTGATTTTCTCCATACATATTGACGTCCATCTCCACCAAACACATTAAATTTACTTTCATCAGTAAATATGACCTTATCCCAAAATTCTAAAGGCTTATTTATATGTTCTCTAGCAAATTCCAGTCGCTTTAAGCGATTTTTTTCAGTAATCAAAGGTTTTTTTCTTTTTGTTCTTCCATAAAACTCAAATTCATGCAAGACATTTCTTAAAGTTTGGACATGGAATGTCTTTTTGGTTGATTGAGCAATATTTTCGGCCAACTCTGGAGCACTTATTGTAGGATTTTTTCGAATTTCGTTCGCAATTTCACGTTTTTCTCTTTCAGAAAATATTTTAGGACGTCCCGTTCGCTGTTTATTATTAATATGACCAGTTTCTTCATAACGTTTTATTATCCAACGTACTGTAGAAAAGTTTATTTTTACTAAATTTCCAATTTCTCGGTAGCTCCATCCTTGAGATCTTAAAAAAATAATACGATCTCGCAAAATAACGGAGATTTCTGATTTTTTAGTAGACATTTCGATAACGACGCTTTTTGTCGAATGCCTGTAAATTAATTGACTGAGAGACATCAAAGTAGTCGTAGAACAGAAAAACCCAGCTATAAATAGACCATGGACATGTAGAGACCCGTTTGAATTACGATTTAACCGGTGTGTCAATAATTTATTGATTAGTTATTTAAGATTATTATTATTATTACTAAAATGTCTCGGCTAAAATTTTTTTTTTTAGCATAGAAATAATTAACATATCAATTATTATTATAATGTATAACAACCATTAAATAAAAATGATTCCTTCGACTGGAAATTCGAAAAATACACAATGTGTCAATACTTTTTTTACCCACTGTATATTCCGAGCCTGCGTATTTTTGTTAATTTGATTATTAAATAATTATAATAATATAATTTAATTAAGGTTAATAGTCTGTCCATCATCGATCAATTAATTACCAAAGAATGTCTATATTATTTAATATGGAGCTGTATTTATATTCTTTGTTAATAATTGACACTCTTTTGCCTTTCATATTTAATGGGTTTCATACTAATTGGTTGTTTGTTACAACTTCTAAACATTTTTTCGGTGTGGATGTCTTCTAGTAATATTACTTTATAATACTTGTATGATTTTTTCCTAACCTTTACTAGATGACTTCCACGGCACGTGTGTTCATTATTGTTTGTTGTTTTCAAAAAAGTGATATTGATTAAATGAAAAAAGTTATGACATTCATGTTATATAGTTACACTAACCAAACCTATTAAAAAAAAAGTAGTGATTGCCGCGACACTATTCTCGTAGTCCTCGACAATGATTAGTTTTTTTTTTTTGTATGTATTAGCTTTTAAACAATAGTGTAAAATATATGCATATTAATTCAGTTAGTTAATCGTTTCGACATGTTAATTAGTTCAGAAATACTCTACTTATCCCAACTCCAAGATAATTAATAGTTACAAAAAAATATATATTATTTTATAAATGTATGCTGTAAAATACTATAAAAATAAAAAAATCTAAATGCATTTATAAGATTTAAAAATCAAATTATAATGTTGGTTTCACACGAACAACTATATGCACAGAAAGTTTTACCTGATATCAAGTGCTATAACACTTGTACATGAATTTTTCATTACATTACGTTTTTTTTTAATTTTTACTTTTTACTAAAAATGTTTAATTTTTTCAAACGGTCATAGATTTTTATTATATTATTTCTGATGTTATCAGACCACATATATATACATAGGTACTTTCTCAAAATTAAAGGACTACAATTTTCTAAATACTATTGTTTAGTGTTTCGTCATACACGTGTTGCATAGGACGGCCAGTAAAGAAGTAAGAAAAAAATTGAATTATAGAATCAAGGTTTAAAATTTTTTGGGGTAGTGTCTTATTGCCATAGTATAAATAGTCACGAGATTCAAATATTTTATTAGTCCATTGAATTTTCTTTACAGGCAATATGGTTTTGAAGAATGAGGATTTTGATTGAAAACATTGGTTAGCTGAAATGAGTAGTTTTTTGAGAAAAAGTGAATTGTGAAGATATAAGAGAAGAATTTGTTTATAAAAAAATTTTTTTCATACGTGAATTGCTGATTATCATTAATATCATCGCCCATATATTACGATACTTCTGTAAATTAATATTTAAAAATGTTATTTTATTTTATATAATAAACTCGGTATTGTGATGTATGTATTTTTCTAAATCTCGCATACCGTTCCATAGTTAGAAAACACTCTGCACAAATAATATGTATTAATAATGATAAATTTTTTATGATAAAACATAAAAAAAATCACCACAAGTATAACTTCTTCAAACTTAAAAAAATTATTTATATAAAAAGGTTCAAGCCTGAGAAAAATTCATAGGATTATCAGTTGAAAAAAAAAGTTTTTTTGTGTCAATATTAAACTCGTTTATCAAAAAAGGACAGGGTATTATGAAATAAATATTTCAAATAGATGTATTATCGTATATTTCTTAATGATAAAAGACTTAATATTTGAAAAAGTCATAGTGATTTATTTGTAATAAACGGTTTTACAAAAAAGTTTAAACTCCATCTATTCGTAAGAAATAATGAGTTAACATTATACAATGGTCAATCACTTTTTATCTTAAGCTGATGACTTTCATTTTTAAAAACTAACATTAATTTATACACCAATATATTATGATTAAAATTTGACTTGATATATTTATCAAGTTTAGTAGAAAGTTCGAGAAGTTAAGGGAATATTTTTTTGGACTTGCAAAGGTTATGAGTTTTTGAAATTTTAGTAAAATAACTTGATTTTAAAAGTAGAAAAATTAATTTTCTTTCACAAAAACTTAACCTATGAAGTCCATATATCAATAATTTTTCTAATTACTCTATGTTAGGGTTCACTTTTGATGATAATGCTTTTATTATTTTTGTTAACACTTAGGTATCCTGGATGCGTAAACGAGATTTACATATATTGACTTCAAACATACACACATACACAGGAGACAACCGTTTTAGTGTTATACATCCAGAAAATAGTGAACAGTGGGACTTGAAAGTTGAATTTGTCCAAAGAAGAGATGCTGGTATTTATGAATGTCAGGTGAATACTGAACCTAAGATAAATTTGGCCGTGCAGCTAAACGTCGAAGGTAGTACGTATGAATTATAAACTTATATACGCTTAGCTGTAAGTAATACAAATTAGTTGAATGAATTTTAAATAAATATCTGTTGCTCTTTTCCAAAAGTTGATATTTTTAATTTAGTAATTTGTAAGAAATTAAAACTAAAATTAAAATATTGATAGTATCATCTTATGGAAATCGTCATTTTTGAAATACATAAAATTTCGTTATAAAATTGATTTTTAATTAATTGACAAAGAGTAGAAAACACCTTCTCGATAAGAACTATAGAAATCTCAAAAAACAGTTTTTGTGACTCATCAACTTTTGGATAAAAATACTTTAAGTAATAATTATTATTTTACTTATTTCATTAGAATTAAATGGAACCTAATTGTATTTTAGTGAACAATATTATTTTAAATTAAAATGTTCATCACATCAATTTATACATAGTAAGACAAGAAACGTTATGAATAACGGTATAGTTATAATGTTTAGAACAAAAATGTTTATCAAAACGTAATTAAAACACCAAAATTATGCGATAACATTAAACGTTAAATATCATTTAACATTATAACTGTTTAACAAATCTAATATATATATATAATCAAAAGTTATAACAATATAATATAAAATGTATTTATTTAAAATACATTCCTTAAAAACAATTTCATATTTTAATTTAGAATTTTCTAAAATATAAGAGTAATCAAATGCTACTAGCTACAATTGAACTTACTAGTATGAAAAGTGGGTAAATTTTTAGAAGAAATGTTTTCACGTCGAAAAGAATAAAGGGCATAAGTATATTTATGTTATGTACATGTATACAGTACTTTAGTGAAAGAAAACTTCCAGAATTCTTATTTCACACTGCAACTCAACTGAAAAATACGATAACATTTGAAATATTCAAATGTTAGTCCTTGTCAAAAAAATAATAGTACAGGTAGAAAACGAAAAAATATAAAATCCAAAAGAATTTTTTCTATAATTTACATGTTGTTTCTTCATTGTTAAATATATTAAATTTAACTTAATACAGGATTATCCGTTAAAATATTTAAAACTAACTTACACAAAAATTTAAATGTATTATTAGAAGTTGAAAATTGGGATTCTCCAATTATTTTATTAAGAAAATGATAGATCAGTAAAAACATTTAAAGAAGTACTTTGGAAGTTATTAACAATTTTATAACTTGACAGGAGGAGGAATGCGACCGAAATTATCTAATGATGTAAATAGTCTTCCTCGGTTTATATTTTAAAATAATTTTAGAATAGCTGCTTTTTTATTTCTGCCAATAGTCAAAAAATCGAAAAAAATGTTAATATAAGTCAACATACAAAATTCTTAAAGTTGCGTTTTACTTAAAATTTGTTTATCAAATTTGTCGTATTATTAATATAAATATTAGTGTGAATATCTTCTGATACATAAATATTTTTTTGAAATTTATACGATTGTATTATATTACAGTAAATATTAATGTCGTGACATATTTCATTACAGCTGCTCAAGCTAATATTCACGGTCCTACAGAAGTTTACGTCAAAAAAGGAAGTACAATCAGTTTAACATGTTCTGTAAATGTGCATTCTAATCCACCTAGTTCAGTAGTGTGGCTACAAGGAACAAAAATAGTTGATTTTGATTCACCAAGAGGTAGAGGTGGCATTAGTTTAGAAACAGAAAAAACAGAATCTGGAACAACTAGCCGTTTACTAGTCACAAAGGCTGGTTTGGCTGATACTGGGAATTATACATGCCAGCCTAGCAATGCAAATACTGCAACTGTATATGTTCATGTTCTTAACGGTATGTAAATAATAAAATATAACAAAATTAACATACTATTTCCAACTATTGTTGTTCTGAAATTTTAATTTTATAGGAAAGATTTATTTGTTTATATATTACATAAGTATTATTGGGGATGCAATGTACTCTGTATTACTCCGGGGCTCAAAATATTTAGGTTTTTTACGGTTTCACATTTTTACTCGTTTAATAAACTTTTATGTGAACTAAAAAATCATTTTAACTTCAATGCTAAGCTAAGAATATTATTAACTATACTACGATGTATTAAATATAATTGTATGTGTGTCATCTTACATACTCAATTTTAGATTGATATGTCAATTAATGAATCAGAATAATTTATATAATATCTATTTAGACACATTACCCTTACAAATTGAAAAATTGTTTTACTTTTGAATAATTATTTGCGAGAAAAGCAAAGGAAATTTTTTCAATGAACCTCAATTATCGCTTTGTACTTTATTCAACCATATAAAATGAATATTCGGTACTAGAAAAGAACGCTACAGTATTTTTTTTAATAATTAATTTTCAAAAAAATAATCCAAGAAAAACTTATAAAACTATTTTTTTGTTAAATTTAATTAATAAATAAAATAAGTAAACAAAATATTTCTTAATGTATTTTTATGGGTAATTATTAAAGTTAAATAGAAACTTTTATTTATTTCTAATAAACTAAATAATATCAAATTTTGAACCAATATTACAGTAGTGATTACCACAAAAATTACATATTGGTATGCAGGTATAGACTTTTTTAAAAACAGATTCCTTTTTTTTTTGGTATGAATATTAGTCTGCGTTTATTTTAATAGAGATTTTATTTGTAATAATAGATAAAATTAATATATAAACAATACAAAAAATAAGGCTTTACCCTAAACCTTAAATATACAAAAACTAAGATATAGCCAACTGTAGGGCAGACGTCTCTTGCCTCGTCCCATGAATCATGCAGGTTAAGCGCGTTTAAATTATTTCAATTAACATAATGAAAACGATTGAAATGTTTTCGTAAAAAATAAACCAGTTACAATAAAAAGACAATTATATTGAATTTCCTTTCTAACACCGTAGCAACGCGCGAAGGGTAAGATTATAAAATGGAAAATAACTAGTGTATAACAACTTTTTAACCAATACTTTTAAGGTTGTTAACATTTTTATACAAAGGGAATATGGGTGAGAAATATATTATGATAAAATTATATGTAGTATTATGTTAGGGTTAACACTGTTATACTGTATAACCTAAAAATAAAATAGATAATATATTTTCGTTATTAGTGAAAAAAATGTGAATTGCAAGGTAACCGCGTGTGTTAAATTCTTCATATTCTGTTATATCCAAAGATATAATTGTTCTTATTTCCTCGCCTAAATCCCAACTACTTGAGGTCGGCCACCCTTATCCTAAATTCCGACTTGAAACAATCTCTCACATCATCTAGGCACACATTAGCTGTCCTCATATCGTATACAATAACATCCCTCAATCTCTTTTTTAGTCTTCCTCTACCTCTTCTACAGCTTCCGATTCCTCTCTCCTCATAACATGACCAAACCATCTAAATCTATTTTCTCTCATCTTATCCACGATTGACGCTACGCCTATACTCCTTTTTATATGTTCATTCCTTATTCTATCTTCTTAATCACTCTCTCGTCCATCTAAGCATTCTCATCTCTTCTACATTCATTCTCTGCTTTACTTTCTTATCAACGACCCAACACTCTGAACCATATATCATAGATGGCCTCACTACAGTCTTGTAGAATTTACCTTTCAGCCTCATTGGAATTCTTTTATCGCATAAGATGCCAGACGCTTCTCTCCGCTTCAACCACCCACATTTAATCCTTTGTCTTACATCCTCGTCATACCACCGCTCTTTTGCACAATTGATGTTGAATACTTAAAACTTTCCACTTCTCCTATCAAGTCCTCGCTTATTTTCACTCATCTCCTCATTTCATCTACCTCATATTTTACTTTGTGAAACTCGTACTCTAAATACTTTATCTTACTTCAACTTATTCTTAAACCCTTTTCTCCAAGAGCTGATCTCCATACCTCTAGCCTTTGATTAATTTCTTCCCTATTATATCCTATTAACAATATATCGTCAGTAAACAACATGCACCACGGCACCTCAACTTATTATTCTCTAGTAATTTCATCGTATTACTATAAAAAATAAGTAAGGGCTTAAAGCAGAACTTAGGTGCACTCCTACTCTTACCCAAAAACCTTCTGTTACTCCTCCTACGCTTTTTATCGTGGTAAAAATACCATCATATATATCCTCTATTATAATGATGTACCTTCTCGGGACTCCTTTCCTCATTAGTGCCCACTATAATATTTCTCTTGCTACTTTATCATACGCATTTTTTCCAAATTTATAAATGCCATTCACAGTTTTTTCTTCTTTTCCCTAAACTTTTCTATTAGTCGCTTTACAAAAAATACTGGTTTTTAAATACCGATGTCTTATTTCTTATTCTCTTATCTATTATATATTTCCAAATGTTCATACTATGCCTCTATAATTTCCACACTCTTGTAGGCTCCTTTATCTTTAAATATCGGTGCACCTTTTAATAAGAGTTTATTTAAAAGATTCTTCAACCACCATATGCCAACATTGCCTAATATTTTCCATACTTCTACGGACAATTCATCTGGTCCTACTGCTTTATTCTTTTTCTTTGATACAACAGCCTCCCATACCTCTTTCTCACTAATTAAATCTACCAATTCTTCGTTCCACGAGGTATCTTTTAATGTCTCTTTTGGATACTCCTCATTCAGTAATTTTTCAAAATACTCTTTCCACCTATTTTCACATCATCATCACTCGATAGTACTATATTATCAGCACTTTTTATACACCTTATATAATGATAATCTTTAGACTTTTTTTCGCCTTCCTTTGTTCTTAGCCTATCATACAACTGATCATACATTTTAAACCTCGCCTTACTTATTGCACATTTGGTTTCTTTGCACAAGCGTTTATACTCCATCCAATCTTCTCTCCTTAAGCTCTTCTGCCATACTTTGAATTGCTTTTTTTTACGTTCTATGATTTTTCATCCCACCACGAGGTTATCTTGTTTACTGGCATTTTAGTTTTACTTTCACGAACCATCTTCTTTGCAGTATTCTTTACACAACTAGCAAATCTATTATACACATTATTTATGTCTCCCTCAAAATTCCACGCTTCCCTTTCATTTACCGTCTTTAAAACCTCCTTTTCATTATCTCCTTTCAATTTACACCACCTGATCCTCGATTTTTCTCCTGTGTTCTTTCTGTTTTTGTATATTCTCTTCTCACTACACCACTACTCCATTACCATTAGTCTATGTTGTGTAGTTACACTCTCGCCTGGCATAACTTTACAATCTTTCACTCGCTTAACGCTCTCTCTCTTCCACATAAAATAATCAATCTGTGACCTATTACTCCCACTTTAATAAGTTATATAATGTTGTTCTCTTTTTCTAAAATAAGTATTAACCACAGCAAGATCATACGATACTGCGAAATCCAGGATTGTTTCTCTAGCTTCATTCTTCCCACTAAAACCATGCCCTCCGTGCATTATTTCATATCTTCTCCTCTCATTGCCTACATATCCATTCATATAACCTATTACCACATACTCATTACCAGGTACTCCTTGAATAACCTCATCGATCTTTCTCCAAAACACTTCCATGTCTATTTCATCACATCCTACTTATTACATTCAACACTATACATACAACATAATTCTGTACTTTTCTTAGCTACTTCTACTACTTTACTTTTCATCTTGTCATCCGTTATTATCCCTACACCATTTTTTATACGAAACTTATCTGAGTATATTATTTTATAACCCTCACCCATATCCCTTGATTTCTCTCCCTTCCACTTAGTTCCCTGCATACAACCAATGTTTATTTTTCTCCTCTTTTACTAATTTTCTACTTCTACCAGTAAATGTTCCAACATTCCAAGTACCTATGCTTACTTTGTATCTATCATTCTTCCTTATACACGAGTATAGTCTAGAATTAATTTGTGATGTCCTTACATCATTGACACTACAAGCGTTGGTATGTTGAGCGTACACATGACTGGTGAAGCAGCTACCACACAAGTTGTCCGACTGGTATCAAACACTTTATTCCTTAGTCTTTCTCCGTTTTTCACTGCTTTATTTCCTCTCACCTGTTGTCCCCGCATACATCCGAGATGGGACAATCCGCCTAAGTATTGATCAGGACTCCTCATATTTTTTGATAAATATTTTACGCCGGCTGTCGACCTGACGCAACCTCATTAGTCGTCTCTTACGACTGGTAGAGGGACCGTGGAAGTATTCTTATCCCCTATCCACAGGGAAAAATCATGATAAATAAAATAATAACAAAAATAAAGTTAATATATTTTTTTTTGTGTTTCCTTAAGTTTCGTGTTTTTCTCATATCTTATGAGACAAACAAGAAAATATTAGATTAAATAATAAAGTTAATTAGCCTATTTATAAATGTAATAACTAAGAAAATGAATGGTTCAAATATTGTTATTACTACTAATCAATGATAACAATTTTTGGACCATTAATGCATCTCAACAAAACCAACAAGGTTACTTTCAATTATTTCTTAATAATTTTACAGGTGAACATCCTGCGGCTATGCAACATGGAGAACATGGAGCTGGTTCAAAATTAGCTTCATGGTCTTGGACTTTAACAATGGCTGTATTTGCATTGTCATATAGATGATGCTAAATAATATTCCTATCCATTACTTCTGCTAATTTAAGTTGTCAATCAAATTAATGTCAACCGAGTGATCCTTTGATTATAAGTTGTTGCAAATCTTAAAATATCGAAATAATATAATTTCTTTTTTTAAATTCAATAATTTTTATTGGCTATGTACTCATTAACTATTTAAACTATTTAAACCATAAAAATTGTTTTTTAGCTTCGATACGTAGCTACAAATTTATTGGTCTTACTATGTCGTGATATATTTTGCATCTGTTGATAACAGAACAGATTTTACTCAATAGTACACTAAAAGATCACAAACTGTACTTAGTTGAAGCTATCCCTGTCATAATTTAAAAAAAGCCAATTTAATCCTCATAATGAAGAGAAATGTCCTAAAAAATTAACTGTAGTTACCTTTTTTTTCTTTTAAATACTTGATAATGTTTGAAAAACTTGACTTCTTTAAACGTAAATTAAATTAATATTTATACAAAGTACATAAGATTAAAAAAGAAAATTACTCAAAAACATAATTTCTAGGGAAAATAAACCATTAAAAATAAAAATCGTTTTTTATATAATCATATCCAGATTATTTATGATAACATTATCATAGCAATAATTTCAGTCTTTGCTGGTGTTTATTATCCGAGATCCTGACTATACTGGAAGAATTTTTAATTAATGCACACACAAAACTTTAAATTTTAGACTTATTTTGTAAAATTGAGTAAGGTTTTATATATAACCACTTTAAATCGTTATCATCATAATTGACACAATGTAATCATTTAAACTATCAAATCGTCAATTATATTATAAGATCAACTTTTTCTCAATTAGTAAATTCATTTAAATAAAGTTTTTTTTTAATGTTTCTGAATATATTTGAATACAAATTTAAATTAATTAATACAATTATTAAGAGATCAGAAAAAACATGTTTTAAGTAAAAAATTGAATAATGCAAGAAAGAAAATATTATAATTAAAAAATAAGTAAAAATTGTAAAACACAATATTACAATAATGAATAATGTTAAAAAAATTGTATTTTATCGTTAGTTTTAACTTTAAATAAATCGTATTTATATATGTATATATATATAAAACTTTCTCAAAATTACTTAAAAAGTTAAAAATATAAATATCCTATTGTTAATTATTGAAAATAATAGAAGACTTCATGATTAAAAAGTGGCGAAATTTTCAAGTCTTAAGTATAAATGCATAAATTTCAGGGATATTTTTACAAAATACTGGTATATGACAATTTCAAAATTTTGACAGTTTATAAATCAATTTTTATCTAAAACATTTTGTATTCATATACTATAAAACTCATATGTAAAATCTCAACAAATTTAAAATGATCGCTCGATCACTATAGAGTATTTGATATGATTTGATTCATCCTAAATAAGGTAATTATTATTTACTCACTAAAAATAATCAATTATTATTCATATACCAATTTTTAATCGAACCCGATAATGATTTGGTTAAAAAAAACTTTTATTTGTATAAAACCAATGTAAACAATTGATTGTTATTGATTATAATTAATTAATTATTATTAGTCAAATATTCGATTATTATTGAATTATTTATTTAATGTATCGATTAATTTGAAATAAAATAATGAATCATGATTTAAGCAACTTATTTTAAGTAAATATTGTCTTATAATTTCTTTTAAAATAGATATGCCTGAAATGGTTAATTTAATAATAACTCAGACTTGAATCACATATTTTTTATTAGCATCAATGTTAACTCATAAACAAGGCAGCACAGTACAAATTATCCTAAGTATCCTTAATATTTTTACTTGCTTTAAATTGAATTTTTAAATTAACCATAATTTTTTTTTTTTTATTGCATAACTTTATTCTTTTTATCAATTTACTAGAATATTTTACTAAATAATTAAGATGTATTTCAGATTATAATTTATAATAGACACACAATTTCAGAAATCGATAAACCTAAAAATGTTTAAGTTCAAGAATATATTATTGAACTTTCTCACTATATAAGTTATTTCATAGAGAATAGTTGTTTATTTAGAAACCAAATTTATTTTACCATATCAATTGAAGTTAATAATAACAAAATTTTAAGAATAAATTAATAAATTGAAAAATAATTATTTAAACGATGTTCCAAAATTATTATAAACTTTCGTATTTACGCTTAATTTAATAATAATAAACAGCCATTAAAATTCTAAAATAGAATAATTGGTTTATTTTTAAATGCGATTAAAATAAATTAATTTTTTATCAAACCATGTAACAACATAAAGTAAGTAATATTATTTTTTTAATTTATTAACGTTATCTATTGGTAATGGACATACTCTTAGATTTATCATCGTTCTTTGCTATTTAGAATTTACTGTAAAGTTATGAATTAACTTTAGCAAGATGTATAATTTTATACTTTACATTAATTAGTATATAGTAAACTCAAATCAAATATTGTACATAGAATTCTTGTATATAAAATAAATAAGACTTTGTTTTGTATAGATAGTTAATTGTTTTTCAAAACTCATAACAACATTTTTGTTAAATAATTTTTTATTTCGTTGTTTTTCATATTATCAAATATATTGTTACCTATGTTATAAGTACTGGATTTTTGTTTAAATAAACAAACATTCTAATATTAAAATACTTAATTTGTTTTTATTGCTAAAATTACTAATCGTATTAAATTTTTATGATAGTAGAATTAAAAAAAAAAAAGTAACATTTTTAATCGGTGTTCTATTGTAAGCAAATTGACTTAATACATATTAAAGTTGTTGGTTTAACTAGGGATGGTGCTAACCTTCCAAATGTAGTACAAAATGTTTGTTTAATTATGATTCACGCAATATTTTTAAAAAAACTGTCATCAACTATTTAACCTCTTTCCCAGTTTTTTGAGATAAGCTATACCTCACATTCGTTTGACAGGATTTTTCATCGGCTGTCGACCTGACGCAACCTCATTATGGCTAAGGGAACCAGTAAAAATATAAAACTTTTAAAATACCTAACATAATGTAATTTATGTTGAAAAATTGACCCAGCGTTAAGTACAAAAAACATTCAATAACAAAAAATTATTTTTGTTTAAGTTTGGAACATGTGTGATTCATTACATTATATTAAAAAACTATATCAGTTGTATTGGAAACTTAGTTTTTATACAAAATATCTTTCTATGTCGATGTATAAATAAGTACTTTATCAAATTAATGGATTTAGACAGTAATTTACTATTGTTAAGAGTTAAGTATACATTTTTATAATATTCAGTGTAAAACCAAGACGATTGTTAAATAAACTAAAATATATACATACCAAGTTGTCGAGTAACTTAATAAAGGAAGTTTTTAAAAGAAATACATATATTTTTTAATATTAATAGGAATAAGGTTATCAATCTATTTTCAACAGACAATAGTTGACTAATTGCTGGGTCATTTTATCGATCATACATTCACCTTTATTACTTTTGTTAACCACAAGCTTCAGATTTATTGACATTTTCAGTTGAAGTTCCATTGGTCTTTTTTTCAAATGATAAGCGTTGCTTATGGATTTCATGGTCCACGTAGTTTTTCGATTCGTGAGTATAATCGATCGGAAGCCGGCTGCTGCCAAATCATGCGAAAAATCATTGTTTCTAGAGTACAAAACATTGATGATGGACGTATTGTATTTGGTATAAAAGTAGTGAAGTTTTATTTCTTTTTTAACTTTTTGCTATTACTCACGTTTAACAATGGGTTCATAAATAATATGCCATGTTTTGTTAATTTTGGTTTAATATAAATATATTATTAATATAGGTAAATAGTGATACATTACTAAATAGAGATACAGGTAATATAACTTATCGTCAACTGAACTTATTCGACAAATTATTAAATGAAAAATAATGATATGAAGTATTAAAATAAATTATTTAATTAGCATGAAAATACTTTTTATCGACTTTTGATAAAAAAAAATACAACTTTCTAAAAATCGAAAGGTTTTAAAAGGTATTAACAAAATAATATAGGACTTAAGAAACAATTTATATTATTTCTTTTTATGACTAAGAAAAATAAAATAAGAATAATAACGATAAAAATATCATAATAAAGTATTTATTTAAAATTGAAAAATAAAACAGTTTTAGATAACTTCTTTCGCAGTGAATCAAGTATATGTATAATTTATGGATTTAAACTTTATTATTATTATGTGATCTTTGAAATAATTTATTATTCTAAATAATAAAATTTAATATATTTATTGTGAGAAAAAATATAAATCTAAAATAGATATTTTTATTCAATTAAAAGTACGATGGTGATTTTGCTCAAGCAAAATTTTTTACTTTAAAATATTTTTAATATTTCATCAATATATAAAGCATTCAATTATATTAGTACACAACCTTTTTTTTAAAATTCTTTAGTTAGGGATTTTTGTTATGAAATAAGGTATAATAAATAAATGTTAACACAATGAAAATTTAATTAATAAAATTTATTTTAACAACTGCGCTTGGTAACCATGTTAAAAATTGTATAATATAAACGAATAAAATGTCTTCAATTTATTACTTAAATATATAAATTATAATAATATACAGGGTGGCCCACCACTCACTGACAACTTAAATAACTTTTGATCCAGTTAATATTTTTAGCTGATTTTTTTTTTAAATATTAGTTAGACGTTAGGTCTATAGCTATATCTCAATAATTAATTTTTTTACATTTTATTAAAAATATTAATTATTTTTAAATTTTAAATAAAATGTAAAAAAAAAATCTAAGATAGCTATTTTGTAGAGTAGAATTTAAGAAAAATTTTAGTAAAAAAATATCTTATTAATATAGAGTAATAAATATTCTGTAGCGTTTTGAAGTTTGTGAAATTTTAAATTTTCATGTATTATTTTACGGTATTAAACATTGAGAAAAGGACAGAAGAAAACGCTATCTTTTCAATATACTTTTGAATGAGAGTGATAAGTAATAATTGCCTTATCTAATTTCTTATCATGGTATTAATGCCAAGTTTGTAATGTATACACATTATCATCATATGTATACACAGTAATCATGAAAAGATAGCGTTTTCTTCTGTCCTTTTCTCAATACGTATTTCAATGTTTAATACCGTAAAATAGTACATGAAAATTCAAATTTTCACAAACTTCAAAACGCTACAGAATATTTACTACTGAATATTAATAAGATATTTTTTTACTAAAATTTTTCTTAAATTCTACTCTACAAAATAGCTATCTTAGATTTTTTTTTTACATTTTATTTAAAATTTAAAAATAATTAATATTTTTAATAAAATGTAAAAAAATTAATTATTGAGATATAGCTATAGACCTAACGTCTAACTAATATTTAAAAAAAAAATCAGCTAAAAATATTAACTGGATCAAAAGTTATTTAAGTTGTCAGTGAGTGGTGGGCCACCCTGTATATCTTGGCATATTAGAATGATAATAAATGATACAAAAATATAGTGATTTTTTCCTTAATATAAAAATTATTGTAATCAATTATTAATTACAATTATTTATCAATAATATCACAAGTATTGATGGTTATATATGTTAGAATGGATGAAGCCACCTTAAATGTCTACTCAGAGTAGTATATTAACTATATACGAATCACTGACTTTAAATTACGTTTTTGTCGTATTAAATACAGCTATTCCTCTTATAACCTCCAGTTCTTTATCAAATATATTGTATTCGTCGGAATATTAACTAATTTGTAAACCACACTATTAAAAACTACCATTTTGCGTTGCCAGCTGTGGTTTGAATTGTACAGAATGATCCTGAACGTGTTTTTTCAATAAATTTCAAAATTTAGTCCCTCCTACTTTTTTAATAAATTCATAAAAACACAATTTTACCTCTGTTTCCTGTTCGTACATGAATTTATTTGACGGATA